AACTGGTTCGCTGCCCAGTGACTGGGTGGCTGTGGCGGGTGTGGCCTACCAGAACTTTCAGGAGGGCTGTTTTTCACCTTTCCCAGGATCCGGAGGTTTCCCTCAGGCCTCTGGGAGGGTGCAAATGGCCTCCTCGGGCTCCAGAGGCTCACCAGAAGCTGGAAACAAGCGTGTTTCTGGACTTCCGGAACTTCCGGTTTGGCCCGTTTTTCGCTCTCCCAGATCCTCGTGGTGGTCCCTGCACTTACCTGCATCCAAAACGTGCCATGTGGAGACTCCTGGGAAGGGAGGGGCAGGGCGGGGCCAGCTGGTCAGTTCAACTACTGGTTCAGCGAACCAGATGTAAATTTAACATCCGGTTCACCCGAACGGGTCCAAACCAGTAGAATCCCACGCTGCCTGCAGTTGCTAAATTAGTAACTCGATTGTTAAGTGAATGTGGTTTCTCCAATTAGACTTTGCTTGTCAGCAGATCACCAAAGGGGATCATGTGACCCAGGCACACTACGACCGTCATAAATGTGAATCAGTTGTCAAACATTTGACTATATGAGCCTCAGTGGCGCAGTGGTTAGAGGACATACTGCAAGCTACTCCTACTGCAGTTTGGCAGATCGAATCGCACCAGGCTCCAGGTTGACTCAGACTTCTATCCTTTCGAAGTGGGTAAAATGAGGACCCAGATTGTTGGGGACAAGAGGCTGACTCTGTAAACTGTTTTGAAAGGGCTGTAAAGCACTATAAAGCAGTATATAAGTCTTAAGCGCTATTGCTATCTGAATGTAACTCCCGTGACTCTGGGGTGGTTGCAAAAGGTCATCAGTCACTTTTCTCAATAACTTTGAACGGGCACTAAGGGAACTGTTGTGAGACAAGGATCACGTGACCACAGGGATCACGTGACCACAGGGAGGCTGCAATGGTTGTGTGAAAAACGCTTTTTCCCATGCTGTGTAACTTCAAATGGTCACTGAACAACCGGTTGTAAGCTAAGGCAGGGGTTCCCAACCTTGGCGACTTTAAGACTTGTGGACTTCAACTCCCAGCATTCCTCAGCCAGCTTTATACTGCTTTGTTGGCGGAGGAATTCTGGGAGTGGAAGTCCACAAGTCTTAAAGTGGCCAAGGTTGGAGACCCCGAGTTAAGGGATGCCTGTATACAGATCGGAAACAGAAGTCCCAGCAGAGAGAGAGAGATGGTCAGGCCTGATACCCTTTGGATATTCACACGGTAGGAAGTGGAGGGATTTGAAGAGTTGAGAGTGGTAAATGGTAGATCGCGGAGTTATTTTTCAACAGGCAAAGATGGGACAGGAATTAAATTATGGTCTTTCCTTCTGGCTGGTCCAATTCTTCTTCTGCTGATCAGCTGTATCTCAGGAGTAGAGGACGATGTGAAGACAAAATCATGAAAGCCACTCTGGACCATCTGGGTCAGGGCCAGAAGTTCTCCAGGCCTGGTTTGTGTCTCCTTCTAAACCAGGGCTCTCCAACCTTGGTAACTTCAAGCTTGGTGGACTTCAACGCCCAGAATTGCAATGCTGGCTGGGGAATTCTGGGAGTTGAAGTCCACCAAGCTTGAAGTTACCAAGGTTGGAGAGCCCTGTTCTAAACCACCTGGCTTTGTTTTCCCTTAAGATATGCAAAAATATCCAACCAGCCAAAAACAAACTCTGGATCCTGATATGAGTCAAAGTGAATCGTGTTTGAAGTTCTCTTCAAATATTCCGATGATGACCCTCCCTCCTTGGAAGTCTCTGGACTACCACCATTCTTCGTAAAATATTTCCATAGACTACAAGTGGTCCTTGACTTATGACCACAATTGGGACTCAAACTTCCACCCTAAGCGAGGCAGTTGTTAAGTGGGTCATGCTCCATGTTATGATCTTTTTTTGTTGTTGTGCGATCATTAAGTGAGACAGCGAGAAAAGTCACCAATGGCGATCATGTGATTTCAGGACACTGGAACTTTGGACATTGGAAGGGACTTTGAAGGTCTTCTAGTCCAACCTGCTGTGCGAGGCAAGAGTCTATACTATGTGAGACAAATGGCTGTCCAAGCTCTTCTTAAAAACTTCCAGTGTTGGAGAACCCACCACTTCCAAAGACAAGTTGTTCCAGTGATTAATTGTTCCAACTATTACTAAGTGTCTCCTTATTTCTAGATTGGATCTCTCTTTGATTAGTTTCCATCTGTTGCTTCTTGTCCTGCCTTCAGTGCTTTGGAGAATAGCATGGCTCCCTTTTTGGGAGGGCAGCCCCTCAAATATTGGAAGACTGCTATCGTGTCTCCCCTAGTCCTTCTTTTCATTAAACTAGATATATCCAATTCCTGTAACCGCTCTTCATATGTTTTAGCCTCCAGTGTCCCCTAATCATCCTTGTTGCTCTTCTCTGCACTCTTTCTAGAGTCTCAACATCTTTTTGACATCGTGGCAACCAAAACTCAATGCAATACTCATTATATTTGAATCTGCATCTGTTGTATTTAATCTCTTCCAATCAGGTAGTCCTTGACATATGACCTCAATGGAGCCTGCTCATTATGGTCCTAAGTCATCACTGTCATAAATTGACCAGTCCAATTTCATTATTGTTTTGTGGAGGTCACTAAATGAATGTTGCATTCAATAATTTTTGCTCCAAAAAGTTAACTCCCAGTTTTTGGCAAAGCCATCGTAGAGCACAGTCATATGACTGTCGGATGCTATAAATCCTCTTCATAGCTCTTCCCTGCACTCTTTCTAGAGTCTCAACATCTTTTTTACATCGTGGCGACCAAACCTGGATGCAAATATTCCAAATGACGCCTTACCAAGGCATTATAAAGTGGTATTAACACTTCATGTGATCTTGATTCTATGACCATAGGGTTATGGCAATGGTCATAAGTGAAAGGATCATTGTAAGATCCCTTTTTTAAGCACCATTGTAACTTTGAACATTCACTAAAAAATTGATGATAAGTCGAGGACTACCTAAATCCTTCCTTTCTGTTCCAGCAATGACGTTGATGAAAAATAGGTAGGCATTGTTGTCATTTCATCAGGGAATTTTGTGGTGATAAAAAGGCAAAGTTTACCAAGAGTTGCTCAGCCAAGCTCTGCCCTAAAGACATGATGGGAAAAATCAGCTCCGTTTTCTCTAGGTCAATATTTTCTTTAACAAAAGAGCATTTCCTTTGTTAGCAATAAATGCACCTGACTTCCTCTTTTTAGCAGAAAGCAGCTGTAGATCTCAGCTAGTGCTGGCTTAAATAGCAGTCTTCCAATAGTTGAGGGGCTGCCCCAAAGAAGAGGGAGTCAAGCTATTCTCCAAAGCACCGGAGGGCAGGACAGGAAGCAACAGGTGGAAACTAATCAAGGAGAGAAGCAACCAGGAATTTAAGGAGAAATTTCCTGATAGTCAGAACAATTAATCAGTGGGACTTCTTACCTCCAGAAGTTGTGGAAGCTCCAATACTGGAAGTTTTTAAGAAGAGATTGGTTAACCATTTGTCTGGAATGGTGTAGGGTCTCTTGCTTGAGTAGGGGGTTGGACTAGAAGACCTCCAGGGTCCCTTCCAACTCCTGTTGTTCTGTTAAATCAAGTGCATCTGTCCTGATACCTTCCATATTTCCCAACCACTGCTTACAACTTTTATTAATTTTGGGATCTCAATGCCACTGGGGGTGGGTCTGGGGGTGTTAGGTTGAAGAAAACATATTCAGGAAAATCACAAAGGTAAAATCAAGGCCTTTCCGTATTTTGCTTCTCAAGTATTAATATGATATGTAAGTGAAAAACTGCTACGTCAAAAAATCTGGTTCTAGGTCTGCTAGAATTGCAGTTCTGCACTTAAACTGTTTTGTGTGAAACCTCAGCTCTGATACGCTGTTAATCAATTAAGGACAAAAAAGAATTGACCCAAAGAACCATTTCTTCTCCTTACATCTTGAGGTTAAAAAAAACTTTAACTCAATTTGAGCTTCTGCCACAAGTCAAATGAGTCATTCACAATGAACGGTACAAGAGATAATTACTTGGTGGGTGAAAGGAAGAGCAATTTTTACTGTATGCACCAGCAAAAAGTCAAATCTAGATTGTGTCCATATCTAACGCTGGTTTGGAAAAGCAACCCATTTCAAACCTTGGAAAAAATATTTAGAAAGAAAGAAAGAAAGAAAGAAAGAAAGAAAGAAAGAAAGAAAGAAAGAAAGAAAGAAAGACTGAAAAACAGACAAAGAAAGACAGACAGACAGATAAATGGATAGAAAGGAAGGAAGGAAAGATAGACAAAGAAGATAGAAAAAAGAAAGAAAAAGACAGACAGACAGAAAGAAAGACCAAAAGACCAAAAGACATAGATAGAGAAAGAAAGACAGACAGACAGACAGAAAAAAGAAAGAAGGAAAGAAGAAAAGAAAGAAGATTTTTAATTTAGGTTTGCATATCATGAATTAAATGAAACATACCCAGTTATTCAGATAATCCAACTGTCTGGCTTTGACAATAGGCTGAAACGTCAGTGGTGCTCGCTTCATACCCCACAGCTAACCACAAAACCAGCCAACCCAATCTTCCTTTTATTGTACTGTGCAAATACTGTGGAAGGCAATTTTTCACCCGCTATTTTGCCTCTTTCAAGCAAGAGACAGTTTGCAAAGTTAAAGGAACGTCAATCCTTTACGAAGAGAAAAATATCAATTTACATCCCCAATTCCAGCCTGAAATAGGAACAATACCTCCAGGGAAAAAAAAATGGCAATCCTAAATTCAACAGGAAATGCCAATTGTAAACAATCTCTCTGGTGGGGAGAGAAGCCTTTTCAAATCCCTAATTCCAGAGTTGAGCTACTTTAAGAGAAAGAAAAGAATGCAATTTTCTCCTGCATAATTTGGTGATCTGGCCACACAGCAAAACAGATCAATACATAAATAGAATCAAAGCAAGTTAAGTTTTTTTGTTCCCTTTTTTTCCCCTTCCTTCTCAAAAACGACCTAGGAAATTTAGCTTACTTTACAGTCCAGATTATTCTGGGTTTCTGGATGGTCCTGCCCACCTGCCTCCAAACCACTCTGCAAGCTGCCTTTTCAGTTTTCAGGCTGGCACCAGCTGCTGTGTAATCTTTAGCAAAAAAAAAAGGGGGCATGTCAGAAGGAAGGTGGTTGCTAGTGTGGAAACCTCCCTTAACCGGCTACGCCCAGCTTTGCCAGTGCAACTCACTGGAGAGTTAGACGAAGCAGCTGGAATTTGCTTGTCGTCGCTGGATTTGTTTCTTGTAGCCGGGGAAAAAAGATTGAGAAATTGCTTCTCCTCGCGTATACCTTGTCAGAAAGGGTCTCTTGAAAGGCTGACCCAAACCAGGCCAGAGGTTCTGATTTACAGGCAGTCCTCAGCCTACAACCAAAACGTCTGTTGCTAAGCAGGACAGTTGTTAAGTGAAGTTTGCTCTGCTTTACGGCTTGCCTGGCCAAGTGAATCCATGCAGCTGGGAGTAACGCGGTTGTTGAGTGAGTCTGGCTCAATGGTTGACTTTGCTTGTGTGCCCACGGGGGGGAAAACCTGTGAGCCCCCCCTCCCTGGGACACGGCCATGGTCGTATATAGGAACGAGTTGTTAAGCCTCTGGATTTTGATCACGTGACCTTGGGCATTCTCAATGGTTGTAAGAGAGTCATAAGCCACTTTTTATAGTCTCGTGTTAATGAATGTTTGAAAGTTGAGCTCATTTCTCCCCTGTGCACCACACTGAGAGACAAAACAGCCTTATATAAAGAAATATATTTTAAATCCAGTGGACTTCAACTCCCAGAATTCCCCAGCCAGTCTGGGAGCTGAAGTCCACAAGTCTTAAAGTTAGCATTGTTGAGAATCCCTGATCAAGAGCTACATATCGAAGGAATTGGCATGTGCAGAAGCCCTCAGAATATTTTTCATATGGTGGAAGTATATATGTGTATGTTTTCATGGTGTACTTTACCTTTTTAAACAAATTAATAAATTTATAAATATTTGACAGGCTGACACCAGAAGGCCAGACAAAAAACAATGGATGAAATTGAATCAAGGAGAGAAGCAACCGGGAATTAACTCCTAACAGTGAGGACAATTAACCAGTGGAACAACTTGCCTCCAGAAATTGTGGGCGCTCCAACACTGCAGGTTTGGATATATTGGTGGTCCGCAGAGAAATGTCCCCCGCATAGCAATTAATCCAGGCTGCGCGGGAACACAAGGCTGCATCACCCACATGGCCCACGGGAACACAAGGCTCACGTCGCTTGCGTTGAGAACAGCACGGAGTAATGAGGGGAGGGGGGGAAAGGGCAGAGGGGGGGGAATTTGCCCCCTTGCACCTGGCCTGGCCACCGGGCTGCTTCTTTCCGCTTCTTTCTTCTTCTGTTTTTGGCTGCACACAAGGAAAGCAGCAAAAGTCTTTCTTTCTCTCCCGCAAACTCCACCTGAAATGAGTCTTTGGGTCCCTGCAAGGCCTCCTGCTCCAAGAGGCTGCGCTGGCAAAGATTCATTTCTGGCAGAGTTTGGGGAAGAGAAAGAAAGACTTCTGCAGCTTCTGCTGCTTTCCTTGCATGAAGCCAAAAGTCTCTCCCCCTGAGAATGGAGCTGGAGACGGTATCCTGTCATCCCAAATAAAGAACGATCGATCGGTAGGAAAACGGGGTGGGGAATTTTCCTGCAGACTTTTTGGAGGATTTTCCCAGGGTCTCTGATCCGTGGGATTTAAAATTATGAGTTTGGTGGTCCCTGATGTCCAAAAGGTTGGCAACCCCTGGTCTAAATGACCTCTAAGGTCCCTTCCAAATCTATTCTATTCTAACATCCTTATTATTTTTATAAACAATTTAATGCAATAAACATACCTAGTACTCCTCCCTCCTCCTATTTTTCTTGATGGGAGTAAGGCAAAAGTACCAATTTTCAGGAAAAAGACCATACAGATATTCCAGGACTTAACAAAAATTCCTTTAGTGACTGTTCAAAGTTACAACTGAAAAAAGTGACTTTTGACCATTGTTCACACATATGACCATGGCAGCATTTCCATGGTCATGTGCTTTACATTTGGATGTTTGACAACTGACTCGTATTTATGACGATTGCAACATCTTGGGGTCATGTGATCCCCTTTTGCGACCTTCTGACAAGCAAAGTCAACGGGGAAGCCAGATTCACTTAACAACCGTGTTCCTAATTTAACGACTGCAGCAATTCACTTAACAAAAGTGGCAAAAGAAGCTGTAAAATGGGGTAACCTTACCAACAAAATATTTGGGTCCAATTGTGGTTGTAAGTCGAGAATTACTTGTATTTCTTCCTGTAAATGGGTGTAACAGAGAAAAATATTTATCTATGATACACAGATGTCCCCAGCATCAAACAAACAAACAGATACTGGAGATGTGGAACCAAAAGAAATTTTGTGTTGACACACCTGGCCTATAAACCAGATTGTAAGGAGTGAAGGACGGATTATTGGATTGGATAAAGTGATCCTGCTGACATTTCAGTGTAGGACAGATTGATTGGTTATGCCATCAAGTCCTTTACAACTCTTGGTTAATCAGAATAGAGTTGAGAGGGGCCTGGGAGGTCTTCTAGTCCAACCCCCTGCTCCAGCAGGAGACCCTATACAATTTCAGAAAATTGGCTGTCCAGTATCCTGTTAAAAACCTCCAGTGATGGAGCCCCCATCACAATTTCTGAAGGCGACTTTTGTTCCACTTGTTAATTGTCCTCACTATGAGCAAGTTTCCCCTTAATTCCAGGTTGCTTCTTTCCTTGATTATTTCACCACATTTTCTATTTTGATAGATAGATAGATGATAGATGATAGATAGATAGATAGATAGATAGATAGATAGATAGATAGATAGATAGATAGATATGGATGGATGATAGGTAGGTAGGTAGGTAGGTAGGTAGGTAGATAGATAGATAGATAGATAGATAGATAGATAGATAGATAGATAGATAGATAGA